ATAATCGGTGTGTGTGTGTGCGTGTGTTCCCACATCAATTCGTTTTTTTTTAAACCGATAATTAAAATTCGATGCACGTTATCCCCACTCCCCTTCCCCACCAACGGGCCCATCATCTCGTAGCTCATCCAATCCCCTCCTTCCATTTCCTCGTGGCCCATTCTTGCTCCCCTCCCCCCATTCCACCTCACCCCCCTCCACCTAACCCTATTCTTAATACAACTCATATAACATGAATTCGAAAGTAAAGTTTTAGTTTCTTCCTTGCTAGTAAAAATAGAAAAAAAAAATAAATAAAAGAAGAAATATGGGCATCACCTGTTGAGGGATGTCCTTGAACGTACCTCAACGGTGAAATTATAATTCGAGGTTTTTTTTTTTTTAATAACGTATGCCATATATGTATTATGGTGTTCTCAGTCTTATTGGATATTCGGTAAGGTTCTTTTTCTTTTTTTTTTTTCTTCTCTTTGTGTTTTGTCAACATGGGTCAAGGACAAATATTATACGAACGTTGCGTCCATATAAATGAAATCTTTCACTAACATTGTGCTATATTCGGATTGATTCGAATGGATTCTTTTATTTTATTTTATATTTTATTTTATTTCTTTTTAAGTAATATACGTTCGTTCATTAATATTATGTTTATATGTTTATATGTGTATTACATGTTTTATGGGAGGGTGTGAAAGGGGGGCTGGTTCAATAACCTGAATATATAATATATTATGGGTGGTATACTAGTGGGTGTTTCATAAATTGTTGGACACTTGATTAAAAATAAATGTGTTTTGTTTAAAATAATTTCTATTAGTTATTTTGTTGAGATTGCAAAATATTATATTTTTGTTTAGGACAATGTATTAAATTGTATTTTTCTTTTTTTTTTTAATTAATTAATTATTGTCACACATATATATATATATATGATAATAATATTGAAATAAATATATATAATCAGGTTTTTGTTTTGCACAATTTAGAAAGTTTTATACAATGTCTTATCATTATTTCACTTATATTAATCTCACATTTTTGGTTTATTCTCAACTCACCCCTCCTCTAACAATTATTATCAACACTCTTCAAATTAAACTATCTATAACTATAATAAATAAATATATAATATAATCAGGTTTTTGTTATGCATAATTTAGAAAGTTTCTTTTATACAATTTACTTATATTTATCTCACACATTTTTGATTGATGAACACAACTCACCCCTCCTCTACTAATATTTACTGAAATAAATAAATATTAATATGTGAATATATACACAAATCAATAATGAATTCATTCATTATCAATGATATTCACAATTTATTTTCGATACATATTAAGTATAATTTAATAATTGCTTGAAAAATAAATATTATAAAATATTATTACGTATATCGGGTAAAAATAATATTACATTAAAAAATAACGTAAAATTTTTTGTTGGTTTTAATACGTGAATTTAAAAATTTACGCGAATTAATTAGAAACAAAGTTTATATTAAAAAATCATTTGGTTGTTTAATTTTTTTTGTATTATTAGTGATAGCATAAAAACAGTTTATTTGGAATACGTGCTTTTATCAAAAAATAAATTATATGAAATATTATTTATCTTATTATTTATATATTAAACTAAATACAAGAATTCGGTTTTACCTAAAAATCATTCCTTCACGTATTTATTTGTCTTTTTTTTTTTTCTCATTATTTACTTAGTCCCTTTTTCCGTTATTTTCTCTCTCCTCTACCTATTTTTTTTTTCTTTTTCTTTTTATACATACATTATAATATTATACTTTCATTTTTCAAGGTTTTTCTCCGCTTTCTCATTGCATTTCTTTAGAAAAAATCAAGCGTGTTAAAAGAAATTTTAATTCTTTACCTAAATAACTATTTTATTTTACTTTTACTCTACATTGTGTTATACACATTCTATAACATTCTAACGTATTCTTTCATTTTTCAAAGATCTCATTCCGTTTTGAAAATCAAACTCACAAAACAAAATTTGAATTCTTTTTCCCGAGTAACTATTTTATTTTACTTTTATTCTACGTTTTGTTATACAAATTCTATAACATTCTAACGTATTCTTTCGTATTTCAAAGTTCAACTCCGTTCCACTTAATTTCTTTTCAAAAAATCAAACTAACAAAACAACATTTCAATTCTTTCTAAACTTTCTCTTTTAATGGTGATCCCTTTTTTTTTCTCTCTCTCTCTCTCTCTTTCAGGTAGTTTCAATATCCCTTCATCCCCCTCTCCCCCCGCACACCGTTGTCTATATATTACAAATATAAAAAGAATTAGAAATTTATTACCGTCAAATAAAACTGTCTAAGAAGAAGAGAAAAAAAAAAAAGAAACCCCCCCCCCCATAAAAGAAACTAAATTTTTATTTATTTTACCTTTGTTTTTTTTTCTTTTTTTTTTTTTCGTTCACGTACGTGTATTCGAAGTAAAAGTAAAAAAAAAAAACAACAACAGAGAAAGAAAGATAAAAATATGTAATTCAAAATCGAACCAACTTACGAATTACAATTATTTCGTAATAATATTTTAAACGCGAGTGATAAGAATAATTTTATCATTTAATATAAATTATATCGAATAAAAATAAACGAAAAATAATTAATCAAATCGCATATATGCGTCCCCTCGTAGTATTCGAATGATTCAAATAATTAATTTTTTTTCTTTTATTCATATTAGTCGTAATATTTAAATACGAAACATAAACAATAATATAACACAATAATATAAATGTTATCATTTTATTCTTCCGCGTGTATATTAATTATTTATCTCTTTCTTTCCTTTTCTTTTGTTCTTTACACGTATGCATGCATAAAACAAAAAAAAAAAAACAAAAAAATAATATTAAACGACAAACACGTTTCTCGTATAAAAAACTAATCCTATAAAACGCGATAAATAATAAATCGAAAAAAAAAAAAGAGAAAAAAACACGTGCTCGCGTATAACACAATCGATATCCTTGAAATAATTATTTTATTTTCAATACGATAACACACGTTTATTAATAATTATTGTATCCCCACGTTTAATGATTTGCAATGGAAAAGAAACGAAACAAAAAAAAAAGAAAAATTAAAGAGAAATAAAGTAGATAGATGAGGTGGGTGGAAGAGGTGGTTAGGGGGTGAAGGGGGGAAAAGAATTGATAAACGATAGGAGAGAAAGCATTAAAATTTGTGAACGTGTCGAACGTGTCGTAAATATTCAAAACAAAATACAGTGGAATCGGCTTAAATCAACGCGTACCTTATTTCCTGTCGTTTGTGATTTCTCAATCAATAATCGCGTTTAAAATTATCTTAAGGTAACAATTTTATCGTATTTTTTTTTCTTTTTTTTCATTTAAATTTTCATCGTCGTCGTCGTCGTACATTTGAAATATTGAAATACAACATTTACATAGTTTTATTCTAATTTAACGTAAATGTATTAACAAGTAATATACCTGAGCCTCATTTCGATTAGTGTGTCATTCGAATTATATATATACAGGGTGGCCAAAGTTAATGTTACTCTCAACCTTTATACAAATATAATATATTTTATATATATAAATAAATTTAATAATAATAATAATAATAATGTATATTTTAATAATCGTATTTATTTGTGTTAAAATTGTTTAATTTCCATGTTTTGTTATATACAAGCTAGAAAATACTTCCTCCCCCCCCCCTACCACCGTCCCTCACCACCCTTCACCGAACTATAAATAAAATCAATTAAAGTATATATTTGTAAATTGATCAAAATATTCTGAAGATTTTAGAAATGAATCCGAATAATATACGAAAATTATACTCAAAATATAGAACACTCAGATACTGTAACATATACACGAAGGTTAGCAATAGATTTTTATATTAAACGACCTGGTTTTACGCTTTACTTTCTCTTATTATATTATAAGTATAATATTTGAAAAAAAAAAATATCATTAAAACTACATTTCTATTTTTATCCATTGGCAAGTTTTCTATATTTATATATTATTACGTAGATATGAATAAACGTATATACGTTGAATTTGTTAATATTAAGTGAAAGTGATATTCCATGTTTCTAACAACTTTCTAAGAAGATCTAATTTCACTCAACGTTTAAACACTGAGTTAAGGTTCAAAAATTCTTTTTGTTTGTTCTTCTTCTTCTTCTTCTTTCTCGAAACTAATCGAATAAGAAAATAACTTTCTGTTCGTATTATCTATGTTGAATTTTTATTGAAAATATTCTATTCAAATGATCGTGTTAATTTTTTATATACTCGTCATACAATATAATAATTTACTTTCTGTGTTTTCTTTACTTTTTTTTATATTATATCGTTCATTTATTTATTTATATGTAATACAAAATAAATAGTAATAAAATGTGTGTCGTTTGATTATATTTTTGAATAAAATCAAACGCTCATACGAAATTTCGCCATTTTTGATTCATATGAAAATAAATCGAAGAAATTCAATTTTATTTTTTAGGTTTTTTTTAAATAATTGATGATTATAACAAATATTTAAAAAGTGATTTAAAATTTAATCTTATTATTTTAAAAAATCAAATCAATTATTATTATACTTTTATATTTATCAAATGTATATTTATCGGTTTGTAATTTGACTAATTTACCATAAGAGTAAAAGAAAGATGTCGTCTTCCGGAAACTTCGATTCAAATAATACCGTGTATGTGTAAATGTATGTGTATGCGCGCGCATGTGTTTCTAACCAATAAAAAAGGCGCCATTATTGAATTTAATTTTTTTCTATGTGTATCCATTACAAATAATTTTTTAAATAAATGATTTATTTTTCAAATAAATGATTTTAAAGATTGTAACAACTGTATTGAATATCGATATATAAAATAAGAACGATAGAGAAATCGATTAATCGAATGATATCGATATTCGAGATTGGATGACGTTTTCATGAAAAAACGCCAACTTCAGTCGTATAGTCGATTTATTCGAGCGTACAGCTGTTCGATATTAAAACAACTTAATTAGACAAATATTATTTACTATAAATAATAATAATTAATAATTAATATGACGTATATAAAGAGCAAATCTTTATAAAGATTTATTTTCAATTATATTTAATATTGTTCATTGCGAGGAATTAAAAAACGTTAACAAAAATGAGTTGAACAAAAGTGTGGTTATTTTTCTTCGATCAAAGGTTTGTTCAAAATATCTTTTTATTTGAAATTACTTAAAATATCGTTAAATAATATAGAATATTAACGTAATATTTATCTTTTAAATCTGTCGTTTGCAGGCTACCATTGTTAAAGTTATAAATTTTTTAATACGCATATAAAAATATACATACATATATATATATATATACACAACAAAGTAATCATATACAATAAGAAGAAAATTGAAATCCACTATCATGTCTAGTTATAATAATAAATCAACAATACCACCACGATGGCTTAATTGTCCAAGGAAAGCTATTAGGTTGATAAGAAATAAATTCTTAGCATTCAAAACACCATTATCATCTGCGTTCAATGACCAAGTACCAGAAGAATGTTGGTTCACAATAGATATGCTTTTTTCTTCACTTAGAAGTGAAAAAATTAAACTCGGTTTATGGATTGATTTAACCAACACGACAAGATTCTACGATAAGAAAAGTTTGGAAGCGCATGGTTGTAAATATTTGAAAATTCAATGCAAAGGACATGATGAGAGACCGTCAAATGAACAAACTAACTTTTTCATACATGTTTGTAAGCAATTCATAGCGCAAAATCCATTGGATGTCATTGGTGTTCATTGTACTCATGGGTTCAACAGAACTGGATTTTTAATAATTAGTTATTTGGTCGAAATGGATTGTCTCAGCGTAGATGCAGGCTTAGCTGAATTTGCAGCAGCTCGACCTCCTGGTGTTTACAAGGGTGATTATATTAAAGAATTATATAAAAGATACGACGAAGAGGAGGAGACTCCTGATCCACCGCCAAGACCAGCATGGTGTTTAGAATATGATGACTCTAACGAAGAAGATACAGACGAAGGACCCAGTGTGGATAACAGTCCATGCGAAAGGGAAAACAAGAAAAAAAGAAAAGAACATCATAACAAAAATCCTGTATTTATGGCTGGCGTATCAGGAGTAACACCTATCTTGGATCAGAAGAAGTTATCCGGTATACAAAAGTGCGTTCAAAAAATTTGTTCTTGGGAGTTGTCAGGATTCCCAGGTTCTCAACCGGTTTCAATGGATTTAGAAAATATTAGGTTATTACATGAGAAACCTTACAGGGTATCATGGAAAGCCGATGGAACTAGGTTTGCTGAATATATTTATATATTTATTTTTAATATACCATAAGAAAAAATATATTTTTTTAAAATTGAAAACTCATGTATTGTCTTTGCGTAGGTATATGATGCTCATACAAGCCAACCGAGAAGTATACTTCATAGATAGAGATAATAGTGTTTTCCAAGTGGATGGTTTAACTTTTCCTCATCCGAGAGATTTATCCAAATGTCTTAAAGATACACTTTTAGATGGTGTAAGATATTCTTCTGTTATAAAGCACGAGAGACACCTAACTTGATTACTTCTAATAACTTATTTTTCTTTCATATGCGATACACTACTATAATTACTTTCACAGATATCATTTTTTTTTTAGAATGATACATACAATTTACAGTACTAATAAGAAAGTTAATATACAATTCAGAAATGATTAGAAATAATCAAGTTAATTTCTCACTAATATTTTATTGATTATAATTGCATATTATATATTTAAATGTTATATTAAAATTTGTGTATTATTATTATTTATTATCATTATTATTTTCTTTGTTTTTTTCTTTTGTTTTATAGGAAATGGTAATCGACAAAGTATGCAATAAAGAATATGCTAGGTATTTAGCATATGATATAGTTATGTTCGATGGTAAAGATGTTAGCAAATTACCTTTCCATCCTGATCGATACGAAATTATTGAAAAAGCAGTAATAAAAAGTAGGCATAAAGCTTTGATGGAAGGAAGAATAAGAAAAGAACGTGAACCATTTTCGATTCGACTAAAACACTTTTGGGATGTCGTTCAAGCGGCTAATTTACTTAGCGACAAATTTGCCAAGAATTTATCACACGAACCGGATGGATTAATATTTCAACCGTCCAAAGAACCATATCGTCCGGGACCATGTCCAGAAGTTTTAAAATGGAAACCCTTATCGATGAATTCTGTTGATTTCAAATTAAAAATTGTCACTGAAACAGGAGTTGGAATACTTCCGCGCAAAGTTGGTCATCTTTTTGTTGGCGGTTGGGATGTACCTTATAGTCAAATGAAAATTACTAAACAAATAAAAGATTTGAATAATGCAATTATCGAATGTAAATTAGAGAACGGTCAATGGGTGTTCATGCGCGTTAGAGCAGATAAATCATTTCCTAATTCGAAACGTACCGCTGATGCTGTATTCGAAAGTATTAGAAGACCGGTTAAAACGTCATATCTTTTAGAATATATCGAGAAGCATAAATTTTTAGAAGACGATTCGGATCTTATGCCACCACCTAAAAAGAGATCTAAATTAGATTAATGATTTGTATACAAATATATATTTATATATATCGTTACCAACATTACAAATATGTATTCCTACTTTTGAAATTAAGTAATATTAGCATGATTGCAAGCCAACTTGCATGTTTAAGAGATATTAAAAAAAAAAAAAATCATTCAACATTGACCGTTCGAGCATGGACGCGTTCCTCGTTAAAAAATGTTGAAAATCGTGTTTCTATTTTCAGAATAAATTACTTTTTACTTCGTGAACTCTCTTGTATCCAATTAATAAATAAGATTTTTTATTGTGTAGATAATAACAAAACAAAATATTATTCTAATCATGTTCTTTTTTTTTTAGATCTTTTTGCATAATAACCGTTGATATTATATAAACGTTGATTGCACTCGTCCGTGCTCCAATAGTTACAATTATTTATAGTTAATTTTGTTTCGTATATTATCGTTGTATATTCGAAATCATCACCTTCGCTGAATAAAATAAATGAATAAAAAATAAAAAAAAAACTTTTATGTAAAACAACGTATATGTTTTTCTTTTCTACCCTTCAACACTCTCCCCTCTACCACCCACCCACCCCCTTTTAAATTTTTTTAAAAAAGATATAACACAATATTTTGTAAAATTAAATGTATGATTTTGGATTGATCGAAATTATTCTCATCGTATAAATTTGTTCATTTTCAGATGCTGTATTCATATGGTGTACTAAAAATTTAGCATCTAAAGCACGAAAATCACTTCGCATTAATTTAGAATACGATTATGCTATAATGATAAGATGGTCACCCGATGGAAAAGCATTTATTCTACATAAAGCTGTACAAAATATTATAGAGGTTTATAAAGTTACTAAAAAATTGGATGGTTTTATAGCATCGGCAACCAAAGTTCTTGAATTTCCTCAGGTATATATTACGCATATTATAAAAATTATATATTAATAATTAATTTTACAATAATAACATGAATTAATTTTCTATTAACAATTGTCTTATATTTATTATAGAAACATATTGCAAATCCTGTTGGTTTGGATATCGCTTGTACCGGACGTTACATAATTAGTTGTAGCGAAGACAACGATTTAATAATATGGGATTTAAAGGGTCAACCGCTTACAACGATAGAACTCAAATTGGGATCGACTCATAGAGCTCGTATATCACCGTGTGGACGTTTTGTAACAACGTCAGGTTTGTACAATATTTCTATATATGAAATAAAAATAAAGATTTGATTTTAATTTCAATTACATATATATATATTATAGGATTTACACCTGACGTTAATGTATGGGAAGTGGTGTTTAGTAAATCTGGAGATTTCAAACAGGTGTCTAAAGCCTTTGACCTTACCGGACATTCTTCTGGTGTTTATGATGTCAACTATAATGCAGATACAAGTCGTATGGTTACATTATCTAAAGATGGAACATATCGTTACTACAACACCAAAAGTTAATCTCTATTAAAATATACATTATAAAAATCAAATAATATTCAAATTATATATTGAATATTTAATTAATTTAACTATTACAGTTGAATTTGAAAAAGGAGAAGATCCGCACGTACTTATAACAGGTGTATGGGACGTTACGACGCCAGCTAATATCGCAGTTTCACCTAACAGTGAAGTTTTAGTAATAACACATGGTTCATCTCTTAGCTTTTATAATACCATTACTGGCTCATTGGACAATACAATTAGAGATATTTTTTCTAGTAAGTATATATCATTAATACATTTTATAATACAGGGTATACCACATAACGATTTTTCAAGTATTTGCGATAACCTGACAAAAAAAATACTTTAAACAAAAGTTAATCTGTTTTTGATTGACTATACATGGCATTGGTTTTTTTAGAACTAACTTTATTTTTTTAAATAGCACCTAGTATTTTTGACTTGACAATACAATTTCTACAAGTTAACATTAAACTGCGATTAGCTATCATGAATATACTTTTAATATTTTTTATATTTATAGCAAGACGAATTTTAATGATATTCATATTAAATTAAAGTACACACTTTTTTCTACGCCATTCTTTGCCATTTCTTTAAAAAGTTATATATATATTATTAATAATATATTATTTAAAAGTATATATATTTTTTCTAGATCCTATAACTTGTGTTGCTTTCGATGCATTGGGAGAATACGTATTGGTTTCCGGTGATAAACATATTAAAATATTCCGCAACGTAACTGGTTATCGTGCAGCCATAACATCTGCTAAATGTAAACTTAAGCAAAGACAAACGTCGGCTACTAAAGAACGCTTAGAAAAATTAATAACCGACTGTAAGGGATTTCTTCAAGAGATGGGCGAAGAATATTCCGAATGACACCAACGATTATATTTGCAAATGTTTCTGTTCCTCTATAACTGAAATGTTTTATATCTTCTTATAAATATTCTATGCAAAAGAAAAAAAACGAAAAAAAAAAAGAAAAAAAGAATTGTTTATACCATAATTTTTCATGTATTGGAATAAAATACATTATACAAATTTATTCTAACAAAAAGTATTTTGATGTCGTTCCTTTGTTTATGTTAAAAAACAATTACTCTATCTATATCTTTATTTATTTTGTTCTTTCGTACGATTAATTGTATATATATATATATAATAAATTGTACGATTAAGAAACGATAATATTTGCGATCATAATACATATAAAACAAAAATCATCCGATTGCTACTTACAAGTAGCATTTATCTATCAATTTTGTCAACATATGCACTGTATAGTGATTATGATCATGGCCAAAATACTGTTGAACAAAAAATATATATATATATATATATATACACGCGGCCACTTGTGTGCCTGAAAAAAAAAAAAGAATTAATAAATATAACATTTGTGATTAAAACTAATTACAGACAAATATGAATAGGATTGTAGACATGAAGTTTTCGTTTGTTCGTATTTCTTAGCACAAGAAGCCTGCGAGATGCAACTAATGCAAGAGTTGCTTGATGTTCGCTTCTTAATATTTGATAATTAGCTCTCAGACTAATGCGTCTTAGATTACTCGGTGGGACAGGTCGACCGCCAGCAAACGCAAATCTGAAATCGTATTCAATTAAATTAATTATTATATAAAATTGATGATTTTGTTAAAAATATTTCTATACCTTATTTCTTTTCTCGGCCCTTTTAAAGTAGAATCTGGAAACGCTGACTGCCTGTCTGACAATATTTTAGTATTAACTGGTCTTACTTTAGCATATTTGATTTTACTTTTCAAAACAATTGGAAGCGTTGGTATTTTTCTATATTCGCTTGTATCGTTATCATATTTAATAGGTAAATATGGTAACAAAGAATCCCCGTAATGTTCTATTATACTTGTCAAATCCAAACCATGAACACCAGATTTTAACAAAGCACAAACTACCAACTGTAATAAAGATATGACTGATATAGAAAATCTTATATTAAATATATTAATTATAAATATTAATATGAATGAATATATTTACTGCTATGCATTGCCAAATAACGGAACCTGGTGTTGCAGATTTTAAAATATTATCTATAAAAAGTGGCGAATCTTTATCGGATTGAAAAAAAATTAAAGGTTGTACGCTTGCTAATAATTCCCTGGCCATCGTTCTTTTTTTAATTATTTCATTATCCTCTTTCTCATCTTTAATAAGTATATCTTTCAATGTAGGAATGTATCTGTAATTAAAAAAAATATATATATTATTTATATTATTAACAATATATATAGGATATTTATTTATTTTATAGTTTATATAATTACTTATCAGAAACGGATGGCCAACGAAGCATCAATTTTAAGACACATTCTTTAAATAATTCTTCCAAATTAGGATTTATAAAACTTTGTCCAAGAAGTAATTCTAATAATAATTCGGTCAATTTATCGACCTGAAATATTTCATCGATTGTAAGATAAATCTTAACGTGTAAACGCAATAGTTGTAATTTATAGAATTTAAAATAAAAGTAATACCGATGTTAAGTAATATGGATAAACTGCTTCGCTGTTACTGGCAATAGCAATAATAAGTTGACAAGTACGAATCGATACTCGAGTATATTGAGCATTGTTAGAAATGACCATAGACCTAGCAATAGACATCAATCTATCTATAACACCTTCTCCGCCTAAATGTGGATTGTTAGCACAATCGTTGACCAATACCTACGATATCATAAAAATTAAGTTTTCTTTGGTAAAAAAAATAAAAATGAAAATATTTTACCTGAAAAGTCTTTTGGGAACCATTAAACAAAGTTTTCAAAGCACGTTTAGCATAATTGTAACGAGCCTCGGTTAATTTTACATCGCATACTTCCATCTCTACAAAAAATATGAATAATCAGAGTACAAAAGATATATTTGTGTTAAGCGCGTATTAACAATATATTACCTTGAATGAAAGGTACGTTGTCTTGGGACATATTAACAGCTTCGTTAACTTTATCGACCAAGTTAATAATACGTTCATTAGGAACAAATACTTTGGCTTCTGAATGATATTCTGGCATTGTATCGGGTGCTCCTAAGATAGGATCTACATTGCATAAATTGGTGAGTACTGCATTTACATCGTTGGATGTTAAACATTTTCTTCTACTGTGTTTCAATCTTGTAATACATTTCTAAAATAAAAAATGAAATAAAAGTTATTAAAACTTACATTGTTAGTTTCAAAATAAATAAAACAAATATGTATTATATATTCATACGTGTAAAATTTCTCTTAATCTATAAGAAGCATCTTCTGCCAATCTTCGTAAAATAGAATCTGACAACGGATGAATTCCTAATTCTTCACCGATAGCAGAAATCCATTCTGTACTAAGCACAGCATATCTTCTAGTATTATTATCATTTGTCATACTGTTAACACTAGTTTCTCCATTATTACCGACAAACGAATTATTATAACTCGATATATTTGGATTTGGCAATATTTCCTTCATAATTTATTGAAACTTTTCTCCTTGAATATATCACTGTGAAACGTGATTATTATATTAATTATTGTTATATTAACAAACGTAAAAAAAAGAACAACAAATACACAACTCGGAAGTACATTAAACTAACTAACCTTAACTCTAGATTTATGAATTTGGTTAGGTACATCGAGGCCCGCCATCTGTCAATTAAATTGTGAAACACGTGTAAGATCATTTTTTAAATAATTTTTATATTGTTTACAATATTTCTGTATATTCCTCGTTCATTATAAATTAAAATCTTTGGGTGGGACCCTTGGGAATCAATTAAATTTGAAATTAATGAAATTATAATTTTCCTTTTTATTATACTTTATTTTTTGTTGATAGATTTAATATTATTATTTGTAATATGACTGACGTGGCACTCTTAACGTGTTTACTACTTTTTAATAGCTAATATGGAAATCAATTTAACGTTCATTAAGTTGTTTTCCCTTTCTTATTTTTTTTGTGTTTTATCTACATAACATAATTTATTATAATAGGAAATTTTTTTATATCTTTTTTTTAAGAGTTTACATCATAAGTTTTTAATAGTTGTTTTTCATTCTTTATTTTTTGTTATCATCCAAGATAAAAAACAACTAATGATGACGATAGTCAACCATTATCGTCATAAGTAAAAGATAAGCATTAGATATTTTTCAAAACAAACATTAAATTGAATAACAAAATTTATCAAACGATCGTATCGTATAAAAACATCTTATATCTAACGTTAAAAATCAGATAAAAATAACAATCGTAAAAATGAATGGCGTAAAACGTGAGAAAAGAACATTTATAATTGAATCTTTTGAAAACATTTCACAAGTGTTCGATTAAAAAATATAATTATCGACATTTCAATTGTGCGAATCGAAAAAATTCTCAAACGAAATTTGATTGTTCGATAATTTAATATTATCGATTTATCGATGTTTATATTTAACAATCGATAAAATAGTTTCGTCGAGGTAAATGTTTTTGAAATAATTCGATAGCTGTCGCTGCAATCGCGTTGAAGACATATTGCTGTCCTTTTCTTACTTGTGAAAAAACCCGTATTTTGTTCTTGTTTAACGCATGTAACGCTCGGTAGAAGTTAAATAGCCAATAAGAATTTAGAACGAGATATACGCACAGAAATATCACTGACGTGTCCCCGAAAAGAAGTGCTTTTTCAGCGATTCATGATCATTCTCTATTCGTATTAAATTACGAGAACTTACGACAGTAATCAGTGTGGTTGTATCAAATATAAGAGTGACTTGTAAAAACAGTTAAAATTAAATTATGGCGGCGATATTCAATACTTTCGTTAATTCCTTCAGCAACAGATTGTAAGTATATCGTTAAAAAGAAAATCAGACATTCTGGTTCGCTTTAAAATGCAATGTAATACATAGATGCATTTTATGATATGCAATACGGCCTTTCCAAATTATTACAATTTATAAAATATGTAAATATATAATCAGCATTTCCCTTTCCTTTTTTTTTTTCTTTCCTTTCTTTCAACGTATAGTTGAGATGATGTAAGCATTTTTTTCTGTTTTTCTTTTTTTCATTCTCTCTATTCCCCCCCAAATGCTAATTATATATCGTTATTACGTTCTACGCATTTAGAAATGTATTTGTTATAACATAATATATGTACAGCAATATCTTATCTTAATCTACTCTTACATTATCTATTATTTTACTTGGAATATATATTTGATATGCTATAAATATCTTTTCATTTACGTTGGTTTTAAATGATTAATATGTTATATAGATTTTGTTCTTATATAAAAATGTAAATATTACTTTGCCCTATTTGTTTTGTCATGTTGTGTTATTTAATTAACAATAATAAACATGCGTTAACGCACAGAGCATACACACACACAAATGGTATACATCACGCATACATTTATGTATCTTATAAACATGTTATTTTCATTTCTTTTTTTCTTTTTTTTTCTTTATAGGGATGAACCTGTTAGAAAACATTTAAAAAATGTTTATGGTTGTTTGTCCATGTCAACGGTATCAGCCGCTGTAGGAGCTTACGTGCACATGTACACGCAACTCTTACAGGCTAATTTACTTACCAGTTTGGCTACCATCGGATTATTATTCGCTTTAATAAATGTACCGGACAATGGGAAAAATCATAAACTACGTCTTGGCTATCTCTTAGGATTTGCATTTCTATCCGGATTAGGACTTGGTCCTTTACTCGAAATGGTCATCAATATTGATCCTTCCATCGTAGTCACCGCTTTAGTAGGTTGGTAAAGAAAACAATAATTTTATCTAAATAACTAATTACTAATTCTTATTTCATTTGAATATGGTTGATTAACTTGATATGAATTTTTATCTACAGGCACCACCCTTCTGTTCGTGTCATTCAGCATTTCTGCGCTTTTGGCTGAACGAGGTCATTGGTTATATCTAGGCGGTATAATATTCAGCATGCTAAATATTATGTTTATGACATTCTTCGTCAATCTTTTCTTACGCTCCCAGTTTATTTACCAAGCTCATCTCTATATTGGATTTTTCTTAATGTGCGCTTTCATCATTTATGATACACAATTGATTATTGAGAAACATCACATGGGTAACAAAGATTTCATTGCGCATTCTTTGGATCTATTCATGGATTTCATCAGTGTATTCCGTCACTTACTTGTGATTCTCGCGCAAAAGGTAATAAGAAAATAATAATAAAAATGATAATAAAATGATTCCGATTAATCACACATATCATTAAATTACTATTAATTTCTTTTTCCATATTTTATCTAGGAAATTTCTAAGGAACAACAACGTAAACGTAAAGATTAAAATGAAAAAAAAAAGAAATCAGAAGAATTGAAGAGCGTTTACAACAAGTGCAAAAAAAACATCATTGCATCCCAAGTAAAATCCATAATCCTAGAGGTCTTCATCTAAAATAAAAACAAAAATCCATAAATAGATATATACCATAGATTTTATACTGTTGGATAAATTGCTAACGTTTTCTTTTTCTATTTTTCTTTTTTTCTTCTTCTTCTTCTTCTTCTTCTTCTCTCTTTTTATTTTCTAACAATGATAAAAATCAAAACGATACTAATCCAGAGATACTATTTAATATAATACATAACTCCTATTTTATTTTTATTCGAAAAAATATATATATATATGTATATTTTTTATAAGTTTCTAATATTATAACAAATTATAATCGAAAAATTCAAAGAGGACCACTTATATTCGAATTACAAAAACAAAAATATCATAATAACAAAATTTCATTATGTGCATTATTATTATTATTATGTGTGTTGCACACTATTGTGCGGAATAGGAGGTGGTGGGAGGTTCGGTGTCCTACTAATGGCTCTTTAAAAACTACAGCACTCTGTTTATCTAACTTTCTTTTTCCAACATGGTGTAGAAAGTTAGAATTCTAAAAATAGAAGCTTGTATACTATTTCGTTCTCTCTCTCTCTCTCTATCTCTCTTTTTCTTCATATATATATATATATGGATATTATAATAATTTCAATATTAATAGGATTGGGGAAAGCATATTCATTGGTATAAGATCTATGATAGATGAAAACATTTACATACATGACACGTTACCCATACACATATTAACATACATTACACATACTCGCATAAAACATAAGTATATCTATATATATATAGTTCATAATTAAACAACAACAAGAAGAAAAAACAGAAAAATAAACAATACAAAGCTATATTTACTATAAAGAGCAAAAGTTAAATGATTAGTGCTCGTTTAATACTTTGAAGAACTTAGATAAATGTTATATCAACCGGTATACGGTACAACAATGTAATTATTTGGGTCGTCGATATTATCACTTCCTTCTATGAATTACCATTTTCTGTATTTAGATTTATACAAGATATGTAAATGCATATATAAATTTATTGTATATTTTTAACTTTCAATAAACAAATTTTCCGAGTTTTCATTTACCGATTTTTTAAATTATATTTTAAGTATCCTCTATTATTCGGTATATATTTAAATCTTTGGGTTATCAAAAAGCCATTATAATAATAGCATTAATGTGTGCATTAATTTTTAATAAATAAGACATTAGTCTAGTAAATATTAAAATAAATAAAGTATACAAAAAAAAAATATGTGCAGTAAAAAATATCTTCTTCTATTTTTAACATATATTCATTATTTATATGTATATTTAATTTTACACTTTGGAACTATTGGACACGTCAAGCGTAAATTTTGTTTTAACAATGTAATAATCAAATTCTAAACACCGTAACAATAAGATTATTTATTCATTTTTTTGTTGCTGTTGAAGTTTCTATGCCAACATTTTTGTGCTATTAATCACATGCAGTCAGTGTATAGAGGTATTACCATACAAAAATACAGTCTCACGAAAAATCATGCAGTAGCTTTAAAGATTAAATTTATCGTCGTATGAGTAATAATAATCCAAACTTACATTACTGCAGTTTGTACTTTAATCTTACAACTTTTGAAATCTTTTTTATCGTACTATTTCAATATTCAGTATCTTATTGTTTCGAGAAAATTAAAGTTTAACATATCTATTAATTAAAAAATTTAGGCAAATTATTTGAAGTCTGGCAATGTTTCTACTGTTTTATCAATACGTAATTTGATTATATACATTTTTTTGTATTTTACTAAACTGATGTATACTTACGAGCTGCAAATGGACTTACACCACTTGAAAAATTAGAAAATTGTAAAATTTCAATTTTGACAAATCAAATATCACTTATAATAATACTTCATATTAATCCAATTTTGTGTACAAATAATGACATGATATAAAATAGAAGTAGAATTTTAAATTTTAATATTCTCCATTAGTATTTTTTCTTATCTGTTTTTTGATTACGTTCTTTAGGTTCTTCGTTGAAACGAAATTCTCTCGTTTCATTTCATGTAAAATAAATTTATTATGCTGTTTATACACTGTTTTATAATAATCATAATATTCCTGTGGTGTATACAGGAAATTCTTTTTTATATTATTTTTTTTCTTTTTTTCTATGGAAATTGGACTTACACCACTTTCAAAATAAACGTTCCATGTAACATAAATAAAACTCCATATTAGTTGCATACAACATGCATCATAGATACACCAGTAATCTAATTTAAAATAAAACAAACCAATTAATTAATAGTAAGTTCTTTTAAAATACTCAGAAAAAAAAAAGAAAGAAAAACGAACATATTTAATAATAATTTATATTAAAAGTAATACACTATGAGAAAATCCTATTTTAACTGAAAATAATAAACACTCACATATATATATATATATATATATATATACTATTTCATATTTGATGCAGCACAGTATAGTTCCTAATACACAGCAAAATGTTACCCTTAATATATAAAAAGATTAATAACAAATTAAAAATAATAATAATAATAATAAGAATCAAATAGACAAGGTGTTTCATAATATAAACATTTTTCTTATTCAAACTTATGTTCTTACATTTACACAGTACAAAAAATTATACTCAGACCTGCCGGCCCGCGGTTCATAACTTGCTATGACTGAGGGGCGGCCGGTGGTGGGGTGGTACGGGACTCTGGGGGTGGATTTTACTTTTTAGGATATCTTCTTCTTCTCTTTTTTTTTTTTTTTT